TTCATGACATAAATTAGACATTTTTTATTTTACCTTCAATATTTCAAAAAGCAATTTTGAAATTATGTCTTCATGACATAAATTAGACATTTTTTATTTTACCTTCAATATTTCAAATAATGATTACCGCCAGCCTATGAAGCAATTCACATGACCAGCAGCCATCTCAACACTTTTAAATATTGCTGATTGAAACACTCTCGATCAGAAATTATATGGTGGGGCAATGTGGTTACTTTGTTCGCATGCCTCAGCACGAGAATAGTTAATTTCAATTTCGTTAGTAGTACCTGATGTGCAAAATTTGATGTACAAATTATATTCCACCGTTCTATAATTAATCAATGCTCCATTTTATTGTGGATTTATATTATTAATTTTTAAATTATGGATTAATTAAGCAGGTTACATTTTTGCATGCATAACGTATCAGACTTGCTCCATAATGTGTTCGATTATAGTTTCAATTTATGGCAGAACTTTATTAAGTCAAGTAACCTGTAACTTACAACCCGAAGTTACTACGAACTGTTACTGTTGTCAGTACGCCGCGAGGTCTCATTGAGTGAGGAGGTGGGCGGCGCGGCTCGTAACCTGGTGGTCACTGAAAGGCTCCAAGTTAAACTTCCGTTGCTAGAATTACATCACAAATGGCCGGATAAATTGCGCTGCAAGGCGAGCAAACTATTTTTCTCGAGGTCAGTCAATGTAATATTTCTGTTGATTTTACTTTGTTAATGTGGAGTTTGAACGAAGCGCAGCCACTGGATCTAAAACGTAGGCAATCGATAATTGTCTCACATTGAAAGGAATCTGTGAACACAGAGCGCTCTTTTTAATATTGAGCAATACAGAATATGTTAAAATAATTATCGGAGCACTTATGTCGGCAAGATAATCATTTTGACGTAAGTAATTATTATGATATTTTGAAACAGGAAGGAACCAGGCAAGCCACAATCGATTTAAAACCATCTACCTAGGCAAGATCAGGTCAAATAGAAATCGATCAGGTGAAGCGACTGTCAATTACTAAACTTCGTTCAATACTCTTAATTCTGGGTTTGGGTAAAAAAATTCTACATTTCAAGACTTTTTAAATCCCAATAAAATTAAACTTCCTGCGAATATCCAATCAATGTCGTATGGTCAAGTCTGCATTTAATGTTGCTCAAGAGCTGATGTGAGCGCAAGTAATTGTTTCGAGACCTTCATTAAATTAGCAAATGAGAACTGCCATGTTCTGATGTAGGCTGCAGCGGCCCGCAGGTATAGGCCTGCCGTGTTCTGATGTAGGCTGCAGCGGCCAGGTATAGGCCCTGTCTCTTATACACATCTAGATGTGTATAAGAGACAGGCGCCTGCTGAGCGTGCACGGTATAGTGAGCGTAGAGCCTATACGGCGTCTGCTGAGCGTGGCCGGTATAGTGAGCGTAGAGCCTATACGGCGTCTCGCTTCGCTCACCACGAGCGTGAACTTCACCCAAGTTCAAGTTGCGGCCTGCGGGAGGCGGAGAGGAGGGGCTGGGGGGGAGTGAGGACAGAGTTGAGGGGGAGATGAAGGGGCGGGGGTGTTGGTGGGTGAGAGCGGGTGTGATGCAGGCCAGGGAGAGTGGGTGAGAGCGGGTGTGATTCAAGCCAGGGAGAGTGGGTGAGAGCGGGGGTGATGCAGGCCAGGGAGAGTGGGTGAGAGCGTGTGTGATGCAGGCCAGGGAGAGTGGGTGACAGAGGGCAAGATGCAGTGTGTGTGGATAGGGCGGTGACTACGTAAATAATTGACAGAAAATTACCCTTGAGTTGCGCCGTGCTGGGTTTATAATGGACGAACTTTTCATATATTGAGTGCTTTATTCATGGTCTCGTAGTCACGGAAGATATTTGGCCACTTGAATGATCTACAATCATTGCCTTCTTTAATCAAGCTTAATCTGAGATCTGGATTTACTCTGGATTGATTTTCTCTCTTTCAATCGCCTTAATAATCTGGATCACACATTTAGGGAATTGACACAAGACATTAGTGGCCGAGAAAACATTTCGGTTGAAAAATCATTGCCGAGATATTCAACATGAACGTTCCACTATGCTAATAATGTCAGCTCTCATCGTTCTACTGTGCCTAAGCGCAAGAGGGTTAGTAAACAAAAGGCCAGCAAATTCATCTCAAGAATGTTCTCTCTATCGTAAAACTTTTATATTTATAAAAGTTTAAACCTTTTAAAATTATACTTATTTTTAACCACGACAACTAGGTACGTGAAACTTAAGTATTAAGTATACTATTGAAAAATAACTTACGATCACAGTGATAGGATCACATTCATTAGGCCAGATCTTTCTGACAGTAATCTTAATACCGTTATTAATATTATTCAATTAAATTCCTCATTCTTAACTAAACGGACAGACACTGACGTCTGTCACACGAACATCCGGTCACCGCCAAAATCACGATGAGCGAAAACGCACAGAAAGACGGCTGTACATGTGCTTTCTGCGTCAACTTTTCACACGAATTTGTCTTCTTTTTCTTGAGTTTCAGTAAATCATGGAATCAACTGGTATTTAAAGATTTAAAAATGACAGGTGAATCAGAATGGCAGTGAGCGGTCATGATAGATTGGGATGGGAACGCCGATCGTCAGAGTTCCTCATGGAGAAAATCCACACGTATAGAATGACTCAATCAATCGTTAAGATTTTTCAGAAATGAGAGAGAAGATATTTCTTTGGAATTGTGAACATTTTCATTATGATTATTATTGTAATTTTCTTTTTTATTATTGTAATTATTGCTACTATAATTATAGATTTTTTTAATTTTATTATCATCAAAACGATGCTAATCCTGTAAGGAATTGTCTCATCATCGTGGGACTAAACTAGAGGGTTTTTCCGTTTACTTGAATTATTGAATTCATTGAGCTATAATGTAAATGTGAGAAAAAATATCTTCGAATGTTACTACAGAATTAAAATGTGTAAAATTTAATTAAGAATAAAGCCATGTATTTATTGCAATGCCATACTGCTTTGATAACATGAGCCTTAATTGCATTACAGGCTGAACCCGCTTTTCCGAGACGAGGGGCTGCCAGCGCATCCAGATCTTCCTCGGCTGCGCGATCCTGCAAGTAGAAATGAGTTGCAGAACTCCTCCATAGGCGCCTCCACAAACGTTCATGACATGAAGCGAGTACGTAACGATGGGTACCCAAGTGAAGAGAACAAGGCAGCCAAAGATGTAATTCGGACCCCTGACAGTCCACCTACTGATCACAATTCCGTTCGATCGTCCGGCTACGGTTCGAAAGAAAACGATTCAGCCTCTGACATTTCTGAGCATTCCGGTGAAGAGTCTGATAATGAGTCCAATAATGACGTGATTGATAATATTACCAATAATAGAGGCCATCGTAAACGTAAGAAGAAGATCGATAATGAAAATCATCTTTTATCTACCAAAACTGGAGTCAAATCTGGAGTGTTGGAGCAATCGGGAGTTAATGGCTCGGAATTTTTGTCAGCGGAGAATCTTTTCATAAATTCCATTAAATTGGAAGAGAACTCGACACTACTTCCGACGGTTTCTCAACTGAGGCGCTCGTTTGAAGATATAGCGACGAAAAATAATGCAAAATTGTGTGACTCGGTTAATAACTTGCCTTTGGATTACCACAGGAATCCAAAATATGTTGAATCTATTCAAGTTGGCGTACGTCGAGCTAAATCTTTAGAAATTGTAAAAGAAGATGAAACTCTCACTAACTCAGAGCATCACGCTAAGGCAGCTATACCATCTCCGATTTGGCCAAGAGTCAGTCATATAACAGAAACTCTTGAACGGCAAGCTAGCCGCATCAGTTCCAGACGCTTGGCAGATGCCGAAAGGCCCCGAAGATCGTCGTCTTTGGACATTAGGCCGAAAGGACAAGTCCTGAGATTCAACCCCCTTGTCAGTGTTGTTACTCAAGATTCTCGGTACGTTACAGCGATTTCTGTTTCTCCAAGACGATCTAACCAGACAACAACGTTCAACATTGCATCTACAAATGAGCAAATAACTTATTTCAATGAAGAGTTGGAGAGTAACAAAAACCTCGATGACTTCGCGCCAGGAGACGACAGACTTACTCGTTACTTTAATAGTGGCCTTTCCAACAGAGGATATTTGGGCTCTACTGAATATCCCATTATGTCTCTGCAACCAGATTCATTAGTTACAGAAGATACTTTAAAAATGATGACCTATCCAGAATATACTGGAAATTCCGGTGCGCTATCTTCTCCGATTCTTCCTTCAAATGAAAAACATAATGACCTCAGTCAGGTCATGTACACTAGGGGCTTATATGCCACTTTGAATAGAAATGCATTACTACAAAATAATAATTTAATGAATGCTCCTTTCAAAACTAGGAGAGATAAACGTTCCAGAACACACTCGCATAGGACCTCTCAGGATGGAAGCAACACACGCGTGAAGAAGAAAGGAATGGACACTGTTAGAAATCTATGGGAGAAATCGGGCTTGAAACTAAACGGCCGTAAGCTTTTAGTCAATATAGAAAGTGAAGCAGACGAAAACCAAGAAATAGCAGAGCAAAACCACTCCATCAATGAATGGTACGAATATGGTTCGTCAGAACGAGATAGCAGTCATTACGAATATGTTTCTGATGTTGATGCTCTTGACGATGAAGAATTCATTCCTTCCCTTTCAAGACGAAGAAACCCATCAAACGATGATAGGTCTCTTAGTTCAAAATCAGTATCATCCCGAAATCGTCCAATGATAACTCCTAATTTCGAAAATATTACACATTTAATCGAATCAAAACAAAGCTCGTCTCAAGCAAGTAGCAGAAAATCCATTGAAAATTTTGCCATGGATAATTTAGCATTCACATATGACAACGGTGATCGATCGAATCCATACCACATTACTTATAGAGCATCAAATCACGTTCAAGGCCAAAGTCGGACAGAAATTTATAATAAAATAAAGGTTCATAAATCTATGAGCGGAAAATCAAGTATTTTAAAGAACACCGACTCCATAATTGGGCCCATGTATCACTCCGGAAATGATGAGTCGGGAAAAACGGATCAGTTGGTTGATCGAAACGAAAACGAGTACTCAGAATTGAAGGAAATTGTCATCGATGCCAACTCGTTAGCGCGACACATTGTACCGCAGGGTAACATTTATTCAACTCGAGAAAGCCACGAAACTACGAAAGAAGGAAGCCTCAGTAAGACCAGTACCTCGGCTTGGATTACATCTTCTTTTGGAGCTCGTGGTTCATTGCAAGTAAGTTCCTTATTCAAATGTACCCCTGAATTTTCGATATTGATAACTTTTCGTGCTAAATTTTCATCGTAATTCACAAAATTCTTCAAGTTGAAGTCAAATTGGTGCTTGACGTGCTCTACTTTCTCATGGATTGATCATTATGAACATAGTTTGTTTAGAATGTCACTAAGAACTATAGAATTAGTTTCAATTAAAACTGTGACTAATATAGTGGACAGTGACAGAAATTGTTTGCGATAGCCATCGATTGTGCTGATATTGGTGATGTTCATTTCAAGGCAGAGTTACAAAATTCAGTTTCACCTCATATTGTTGAAATTCAATTAACCGGAGCCATCTCGAGCAATATCATCTTAACTCTTCCCATCATATCATCTGTCATGAAGGTTAAAATAGGCACAATATATTGGTTTTAAATTATCAATTGAACGTAAACATGCGGGAAATACTGCTAACCGTCGAAGCGCCGCACGACGTAGCATGACGTGTATATGACGTCGAGCGAATGAGCCAAGGAGGACATATCCGCCGCCATTTGAAGAAGTGTTTAACTCGAAGAAATAAATGGGGCATATTACTGAACTAGTGATAAAATTTCTGCACCTAGCACTTGTAAAGCCCTAATGCCAGGCCAAACTTTGTCAGTATGACCCCACAAAGGCCGAAGTTCATGTACTTGGACAAAGTCACGTTTATTTCTATCAGGGCATTCATCTTTCACACAACCACTGGTGTCCACTGGTTGCCCCTAATGTTTATGCTTACGTTAGTTGATCTACGGTTCTACGCTAATGAAGTACCAGTACAAACAGCATATGTACAGAGCAATTAGTTGTTGATTAGGTTCCTCAACGTTTAAATTTTAATGGTCTGGGATTTATTAGGTCAACCTTTTACGACATTCAACCCGTCTCGTGGATTGAAATAGAAGTACCTAGTCATTTATCAAGCTTTCTAGGCGAGCCGTTCATGAACGTCATTGAATATATTCGAGCTTGTGAGTTTTTAACCATCATTCTATTGATTATTTCAGAAAACCGGCCAAGGCATTTCAAAACCCAGAGACCCTCACCCGAACGATCGAGTTAGTGAGGCTATCACCCAGATCAAGCCTGACAAGAATCTCGGACCAGCAAACATGTCCTCTTCATTACACCCAGTCCCTGCCTTGGAAATATCTCGTGAGACCTCAACGATCGATTCATCTGGAGGTTCTGCAAGCGCCCCCTCAGTTTATAATGTTTCAGACCAGCCTGCGGAGAATGGCATGACAACGCAACCTAACCACACAGCTGTCAATATCGATACCGTTGATGATCATCTTAATGAGGGGCTATTCTGGAACATCGTTAGGTTTCTTCAAACCAGAAGAGACAGCGGGAATATTACACAAAATCAGGCCTCGAACGAGACCCAGAAACCAGCAGCTGAGAAGCGCTATGAAGATTACAAGAAGAGCGCCAAGAATAACTATGCTCGTAAGCTATCGCCTCATCCGAACAGCGGTGCTCAAAATTGCAGGGTAAGTTCTTGTATGTATTTATGATCATGATCTTTCATAGCTTCTTACTAGATTCCTTCTTACTAGAAACCTCGGCTCATGATATTTTCACCGACATCAATGCATAATTTCATAGGATTTTCAGGGGTTTAATGCCAATGTGCTCAGATCTAAACAATATATTGTTCAAAAATTACTAGCGATCTAATAAAAATATTCATGGCCAACAGACTGAACGGTTTTATATCTCAGGAAACTGTTAATATGTACTGGATTGCTTACCAACCAGATCTTATCAATGAGAACAGGAGTTTTATCAAATGTTACTGGCCGTTGGATCGAGGATAAGCCTGTAGTTTCATCCGCCGAGCTAATATCGATAACTGCGTTTGCAACCTTTTTTTAATAGTAAACACCAATTGATATTATAAGAGAAAATGTATCAAATCTAATTCAATATATTTTTTTATCGAAAAGGCTTAGATTCATTGTAGACGCTCGATTTATATTCCTAAAGTTCAAACGCTTACTCTGTTAAAGATATTTTATGAACGTTGGAGTGTACACAAGTGACATCCAGATCTTAGCTGAACATGTACTTCACAGTTCATGAATGTTGCCATCATGCCCAGGTGGGAGGCGCGTTGTGCGCGGACTTCACCCTCGACGGGGCGGCGGCTCGGGAGCAGCACAGAAGATCGCGTGCCGCCAAGCGCAGGAAGAAGCTGTGCCGCACTATCAGTGCGCTGCTGGCCTTGCTCGTGTTCGTTGCTGTCGTGGTCGCCGTGTCGTGGTACATCACGGGAGGCCGGCGCGTTTTTGGACCCATGTAATATCTATCTTACGGCTGCTATTTATTCACATTCCAATAGCTTTGGTTTACATGCTTAGACGGTGACTGTTTTGTAGGTTCTACCCAAATGCCATTCTACGGAGACGGCATGAATATTGGTTATCTTTATAAGGTTTTATGTCTGGTCGCTCGAATGGCGTTGGTGAGGACAGCTCATTCAATTCCATGTAAATATTTGGCATGAAAATCCCTGCTGGTAGGTTTTAACTGCATTTGTTCGTGAGGTCAGGAATAAATTGATTGCTGAGGAGCACACGCACGAGTTCTGTTTACGTTGGTTTGCGGAAGATATTTTTTATGTACAAAATTATAGAGGAAGGTTCATGCTAGATTTTATTTGCACAAATGAAAGCTGTAGTGTGTACGTAGGTGTGCGGCTTTTAGCCTGATATTGAATGTGTGAGTAAAGATAAATTGTCTACAATTTTACTCAATCTTCATGTATGCGCTCCTGTTCTGACATGGAACGGATCTAAAATCAGTTTTAATCAACACATAAATTGAAGCTTTATTGTGTTGTTATTTATAACCTGCGAAAAAATTGTTGGTAAGTTGTTACGTAATTGCTGTGACTATTAAATTTTAACTGGACCAGTGAAATTAGTTTTTGCATTCTTCACCCGTCCTTTGACACCATTGATTGACACCACTCACTAAAAATCGAGGCACATACTTTCAAAAAAAGTTGAGAGATCGTAAGTTCATCAGCCACTCACTGACGGCCTTTCAAGCAAAATCCACCAATCATAGACAAGAAAATAGAGCGTAAGTACTTACGTTCACTTAGCGAGTTTTGAAAGTATGGCCCCGAGTCGTTAATTATGTTTTATTTATAATTGAACACTGGCACGTACTATCAACATATTTAGAAGGTTCTCCGAATATCTTGGGTGAGATACTGGAAGAGTTGATATTTGAGCTGCAAAGTGTGTCCGGCACATGTCTATATGAAGTCACAAGTGATCTCAACACTAACGAGCAAAATTGGCTTTTCGAGGTTAAAACAATCATGGCTGAATATTATACATATTGTAAAAATCGATCCACGAAATAAGTTCTCTGAGTCTGAATTATCCATTAAAAGCTGAATTAGGGAAATTAATTATATTCCAAGTCAGCGTTTCATGAATTTGAAGCCCATGAAAGGGTGAACAGTTTCCGCGTCAAGCTACCCACAAATCACGATGTATGGGCGCAATATTTTTAATTAGGTAACACTCTGCACTCGTTCAACGATTTTTCGTCGTCTGAGTGCATTCAAAAAGAAATAATCTATTGATGTTAAAAGCTCCGAAATATGCCAATAAAGGTGGTGAAACTACCCGACGCGAGGTTGTATTTCAAAGTTTTATTCAGGGAATGAAGGTTTCAGAAACTTCACTCGGGCATTCTGTTTTACATGCTAATTAAAATACAATTTTTAATGATTATTTTGATCAAAATATTCAACTGAGATTTGGTAAAACAATAAGATATTATGAATATTCTATCACAGTGGACAGTTTTACGCATCTCTCACCTAATTTGATTTGCTTAAACCTAAATTCAATAGTAAAAAGCTAAAAAAAAGTCACTATGACGCATTTACAAAAAATGTCGATTTTAACGACGAGATCACAAGTTGCAATTATTTAATCTCGTACAGTGGAAAAATACATGCAAACTAACGACAAGAGGCACTGCAAGCCTCAGCACTCAAAAAATCTTGGGTCAAACCGTCCAAATACTGATACTTTCTTAGCCACAACAAGCAGAGAGCTGACGTAGCACTGATACGCCTTTAAAGCCGGGCTAGGTCAGATGATTCGCACAAGTGCATCGCTATTAGGACAAAACCTCACTGTTTTCTCTCAGAGCGGCAAGATTTCTCAGAGTTTTTCGTAAGTGTAGGAGTGGCCGCAGGTGACACAGGTCTTGCTGTACTCGTCGTCTGCCAGGTGTTCCTCAGGCCCGTACTCGTGTTCATGACTCTTGGTGGCACGCGTGTACAAACTGCTGCGCACATTCATGCGAAGCTCTGCAATTATGTACAGCGGGATAAACTTCACTACAATCATAATATATTTAATCATAAGAATATCATAATATCTGTAATCATTAGAATATCATAATATCTTTAATCATAAGATATCGTAATATCTGCAATCATAAGAATATCATAATATCTTTAATCATAAGATATCGTAATATCTGCAATCATAAGAATACCATAATATCTGTAATCATAAGAATACCATAATATCTTTTATCATAAGATATCCTAATATCTGTAATCATAAGAATATCGTAATATCTTTAATCATAAGATATCGTAATATATGCAATCATAAGAATATCATAATATATTTAATCATAAGATATCGTAATATCTGTAACCATAAGAATATCATAATACCTCTAATCATAAGAATATCGTAATATCTTTAATCATAAGATATCGTAATATCTGTAATCATAAGAATATTATAATATCTTTAATCATAAGATATCGTAATATCTGCAATCATAAGAATATCATAATATCGGTAATCNCTGTAATCATAAGATATCGTAATATCTGTAATCATAAGAATATTATAATATCTTTAATCATAAGATATCGTAATATCTGCAATCATAAGAATATCGTAATATCTGTAATCATAAGAATATCGTAATATCTGTAATCATAAGAATATTATAATATCTGTAATCATAATAATATTCTGAAATTCTTGGCGTGGTGAATATGTACAATTGTCGGTGGTAACGTCACAGTTTCTAGTCCCTCACCTTGCATTTTCTTCTTAAATTTCTTTTGCTTCGAAACCTCCCGCTGAGCAGCTTTCTTGGCAATTTCTTCTTCCAGCGCCTCTTCAGATCCCCAGACTTCCAAACAGCGCTTCTCCACCTGGCTGGGCATGAGTTCAAGAGTCAGTAAGAGCAACAAGCGTCCTCTTAAAGGAATACTTTCCATCATAGGAGTAAACAAATTTTTTAAGTAGATTCGAAGATCCAGAATAATGAACAGTTGAATAATAAATAAGGCAAAATTTATTATTAAATTTCCAAATTATGATACCGCAATAGTCGGGACATCATTGGAGTAAAAAAACTTTGAACAGATACATTATATTCCATCACTGAAAATTTCGTCAAGTAAGGGAATGCATTTACAAACTTGGAAATAAATAAACACTTTAGTACCATAACTGCATTAAAAAAGTTAAATTAGAAGCGTTACAATACGTTCTCACAGACACGGATGACACAATACGTTTCACGGACTGACCTGGAGCTTGAGGTAAAGTTTCATGTCGCCCCAGCGTTCGTTGTGAGGGTTTTTCCTGACGATGTACCGCAGGGGAGGCTGCCGCTTCTCCAGATCTGTGTCTGTTAGCAGGTACTCCGTACGTGCGTCTGTCTTCGTCACCAATGCGTGTTTAGATTCGTTGTCTCTGAGGCAGCGGGATATAACAATAAATAATATCATATCTTAATAAAGTAAGGTATGCCATGATGACAATCGAGATATGAGTGTTGTGAGTCTGGTATCGCACCAAGCAGCGATGGGATGTATTGAAGCAGACCTCTTGCGGAGGAAGGGAAGGCAATACTTTTTTTGTCGTTTCTTTCACAGGTTCTAAACTCAAGACCTATCAACCCTTCGTTACGCCGGTGGGCGTCACTGGTCTAATTCAATCAACTCTTGTCGCACTGGTATATTCTTACTGACCCGTAACTGGAGTTTTAAAATCCGGCAACTCGAATAATGTGTGCAACTATCGCCCCATATCTATACTTTTCCTTCTCGTAAAAAGATTTTCAAAAAAATTCTACACAGTACTTACAAATGTTCTTGACAATTTTTCATTAAATTCCGATAATCAATTCGGTTTTCGTTAGGGCACTAACACGACTATGGCAATATTTTATCTAGTCCAAGATCTACTTATGGCATTCCATACTAAAAACGATTGTGTTGCTCTTTTTCTCGATTTACACCAATCTTTCCGTTGCGTGAATCGTCAAATACTCTTACGTAAACTCTACCGCTATGGCATCAGGGACCTTTTCATTCATCAATTCAGTCATATCTAACAAATAGAGAATAATACGTTTCATCGAACGAGTTCAAATCAATTAGATCAATTACGGTTGGAGTGCCACGGTGCTGTTCTCGGTCCTCTTTTCTTTAGGGGACTGTCTCGGTCAAAAATCAAGGATTTAAGAATTCCGTTTTCTTGACTCATTTTGTAGTTGCTGAAAAGGCGCGACTGACGCAGTACACCGCATGTATGTGCGTGCTCTAATTTTTGCGTAAAGCAATTTTGAAAATGTATAAAATGAACGTTCTTCAACAATATGTTCAAAGATTTCTTTAAATTAAATCTGTATTTGTAGATCATTATTCATGTTAATTGCAAAGTGTTTGCAATCGTCTGAAAGCTACAAACATGATGCGTTCAGCAAAACTAATACCATGGATGTACATGCAATAATTTTTGAGTAAGGCAGTTATGAACTTTTATAAAATGACCATTTTTATAACAATTTTTACAAATTTTCACTTGAAAATGGTATTTAACTATTAATAGATCATTATTTGCGTTAATTGCAAAGTGTTAGCACTCGTTTGAAAGCTACAAACGATGCGAGTTAAAAAAAAAATATTACGGATGTACATGCAATAATTTTTGCGTAATGCAGTTTTGAACTTATATAAAATGAACATTTTATATATATATATCACAAGTCACATATATTGCGTATTATTCACGTTAAAGTCGACATGAATAAGTCTAAAGACGCGTGCTAGTACCGCAAGTGCAACTAATTGGCAATGGGGAAAGTTTGGGCTACAATATCAAACAATTTTTTGGCATATACTCCTTTTTAAAAAAAATTTACTTATTTGTCTCCCCTAAACAACTAAAATTTCCAAAATGCGCCATCTTAGAAATCTATCTCCTTCTATGATTTTCAAGCTACAGCATCGAGATATATATATACCATTCGATTCGCAAACAAAAATGATCTAAAGAATGGTCTTAGCTTTTTTGTAATTTCGTTATATAATCGTTATAGTTTGGATTATTTTTGCAAACGGAGGGGGAGGAGGGGGGGTAAAAATCGAAAAACAGAAAAAAAATTCCCCCGCTTACATAAATAAGAATTTGGAAAAAAGCTAAGACAAATCGCTAGATTCGATATTTACGAATCGAATGATATGTATCTCGATGTTGTATCACGTTAGTTGAATGAGGAGAGACACATTAGCCGGAGGTGCTTTTATCAAAGAATTACCAAAAACAAAGGTTTGCCAAAGAAATTGCCAAACATACACATACTTACAGTTTTCACCCACAAAATTTGCCAAATAATGTATAGATAGCAATAGGTACTTATTTCTCGAAAAAGAGCAGCAGTCAGACTATGAAATTTTGTATACCTACAAGAGAGTAAGTTAATAGCAATATTAAACACAAAAGCACTGACCTGCAGTCGTCACATACGTGATGATCAAAACATTTGAGCAAATAAGACGAGTCGAATGTTCTGTTGCACTCAATGCAGCGCGGCCTGTCCTCTTCCACCAGCGGTGCAGGCTCCTCAGCCTTACGCAACTGCAACGCAGTCACGCCTTCAGAGACTACAGGGCGCACCACTTAATAAATATCACGTAACATTCATACCATGGCTAGTAAACATGGTTTTACCACACGCGCGCACCACTTAACAAATATCACGATTTACCACACGCGCGCACCACTTGACAAATATCACTAACCATTCATGCCATGGCTACTAAACATGGTTTTACCACACGCGCGCACCACACAACATTCAACGAACGATCCGTGCCTTGGTTACTCGACCGCAGCTTGGATGCATGCGCGCACCACACAACATATTAACGTATCAGCATCACGCTCAGCCACGTAACAACTGATGCTCAGACGTGTATCAGCTGATGTTCGTCACGTATTAGTTGATCCTCAGTTAATTAAGTATCAGTAGAAACATATCGGCTAATTCCAAGGTACAATTGACTCAGCTAAGGCAAAAGCATGTCTCGGATGATGCGAAGCTCGTCATCCAGTGATGTGGATTATATAAGTGAGGTGCAGGTTAGCCGGCTTTGCCCGGAATCGATAATCCCGGCAATTTTAGAACCTCTTGTCCAGAATCCCGGTAACAATAATTCAACAGATTTATGCTCTTAAAAGGCAGACCCGTTTAAACTAACATTTTACAACGAACATAGAACTCACTTTTAGCTCCCGTTGCAAAATATGAGTAAACTATTTGCGTCTTTTAAAATAGATTTAAGTGTATCTATCTAAGAAAATCGATTTCTGATCCAATAATACCCTCCCAGTTTTGCAATGTTCTCTTATTTCCCCACTGAGATTACATTTCCAGACCCGGGTAATATCAGGACAAGATAAGCATCGTAGATACACGCACGGGCAGACCCTATACGTTGGCAACGCCAGTCTTCAAACACACAAGCTTTGATGAATAAAAATAAGATTACGAGGGACTCACTGCAGCAATAACTTCTGCCTCGGAGATGTTGCTAAATTCATCTTCTTCTTCCATAAAGAAGCCTCCTCCTGTATCCACAAGCTTAGTATCATTGATACGCAGTATCTTCTTTCCTTCAGATTCCAACATCTCACTCCTGTAAGAAGCATAACACAGTGCAAATTCAACACATTCGACCACAATTATCTATATTTCTTTATAAATGACCCATGACATTTTGAAAACATCATGTTCTAAATAAATTTCCTTAGTCTTTGAGAGCTGAAACTTATTTTTGCCTCAAAATATGAAGCACCCATAATATGAACATTAACTATATATTAATATATTATATAGGTATAGGTACATATTATGTCCTAATAAGTTTTGTATTTTTTATGTGTTTCTGTCTGCTCTTTCACTTGAAAATGATAAATTTATTTGGCAAACTAAATGATATACCTAGTTTAAACCCTACACTTTTAGATGTAATTGTGTTTATTAAAAAGCAGAAGCTCTGTAAAAACTTCTTCAAATAATTAGTAACAAACTTACTTCTTCTTGGGAGGCAATTTCTTGTTCATTTTCTCCCTTTTGATGAGCAGTGCCTTCTGCCGGTTCTGTTCAATACGGGCGCGCTGTGCAGCTGTCAAAGCAATGGCAGCTTCAGGTGATGTCTGTTGGCTTGACGATTCATTCTCAATGTGGACGTCATTAATCTTTGAACAATGTTCTCCAGATGTAGGATTTACAGTTTTCATCAGTTTCTTATCAGGTGACAAGTCATTGTTTGTCTGGAGTTTGGAATGCAAATCCTTGCTTTTTGCTGAAGAATTTAAACTGACAGATGAAATTTCTTCTTCTTCGTCGCTCTCATCAAATATGCTTCGTTTATTATTAGCCATTCTGAGAAAAATATTACTTAAACACCTTTGTTCTTAGTTAATAAACTTCACATGAACTATTTATTAAACCCAAAAATCTAAGCAAACAATGAGAAGGGCAAAGAGAGAGACATTATTCACATGACAATAGTGATGCAGTATGGTACATGTCATTTTCAATGGTTTGATTGTTCTTTCATTTCACTTAATTTCATGGTGGGCATAATTTACCAGAAAAATATTTGTTTTTGTATGCATAAAGAAATTTCATTAGGCAAAGTGCATATGTATGTTAGTATATACTGTATATTCTGGCTTACATAGTAAGAAGTGTAATAATATAGATTTTTAATCAAGTTTGATAGTTTTCTGGCGTCATTGACATTTGACATTAACTAGTCAACATTGTTAAAATTAACAAATGTATGAGCTGTCTGAGGGGTGAGGAAGGTGATGCAGGAGTAGCTGGATAAGGATGGGGAAATGGTCAGGGTCAGGGGCATCTTTAGGGGCCAGGCTGTGGTTAGGAGGAGATGCACTCTGAGTCTGATGATGGAGCACAAACAGATCTTTTTCCCTGTTGAAACTTCTGCTAAAACCCAGATATTCCAGGCACAGACTGGATTTTGAAGCAGAGAGATTCAATTATTAAGCAGGAAATTTTCAATCTTGTCTTTGACAATTTTCTGGACAAACATTGATCGACATAAAAAATTCTCATACTCCATTCATACCTATATATATATAATTATTTAATACACATCACACATGTAATGCAAATAATAATCAGTAAGATTGATAGCATTGCATGCGTAGTGCATGATGGCAAAACAGACTTTTTTTAGAATCTTCCTCTCAAGTCCAATGAGTTATGCATTAGGCGAAGTGCATACCTTTGAGTGCTTCTGCAATTACTACTCATTTAATGGTCATGGTGAGCACAGAGCAACCACAGTTTGAGCCCTACACCGGCGAAAACGAAAGCTTTCTGATTTTTTTTACAATTGGTTGTATGACTTGTGGTGTTGGTGTACAATGCACCTTCCAAGTTTCAGCCTGTTCCCTGTCAGAGAGAAAGAGCAGAGTACCAAACTTGGTAATTTACTAATATAGAGTACTGCTTCTGGTGCCAATGTGCAAATTTCCACAGGACTGCAGCAGGCCTAATAGCTATGAGTAGCTCAATTCAGGAGACTGCACCTGAGAAAAAATTAGACTGAACAAGACATAAATAAATAAAAAATAGCTCCTTTGGCATCATAGTAAATCCACCATGCTAGTCTGCCTCTGCCAGACTGCAACAGAAATTGTGACAGGTTAGAAATACAAGAGGGCACTTTGCTGCAGATATCTCAGCTCCTAAGCAGCTAAGCCTTAGGAGCTGAGATCCCTAAGTTTCAAAGGCTATGCTAAGTCTCTGAGCCCTGAGGAACTCAATGTCTGCCAACATCTGGTTATTCTGGTACATGTTAGCAGGAAGTGTGAGCATGTATCTTCATGGTTACAAATGGCAAATGAGGCACATTAGATCTTGGGCCATCCCAATTCCTAGGCTAAAGGGCCAAAGTAAGCACAGTGAGACTGAGCCCTAACCCCCTTGCCTGATTGACATTTAAACAAGGCGCAGTCCATGCAGACATGCCACAGCACATTGCATTTTCCTACAGAGACCAGTTCTGCAAAAGCAGTTATTGTATCTTGAATATGAATACCATGGGGCTCCGGAGTCCAGGAATGGGGCATCGGGCCATCGGCATGGGGCATGGAGGTGTAGCCGTGTAGGTATGCTGGAGCAGCTGGACGGGACGACTGAAATAACCCAGCATTGCCCAATACCAGCATAATTTTCATACTTCACCCCGTGCGCAAGCATACTGCAGAGCAAATTAGCCAACATGATTACTTGCTGAAAGCCACAGGGACTAAATTCCTTCATGGATGTAAACCAGCGAGCCAATGACCTGCAAGCCGCCAAAACAATGGTCGTAACGCACACGCTAAACCCCAAAATATTTCTATTCCATGCAGC